TGTATTTTTAATTGCACCCCCTTAGGTGTTTTAAGCATCTTTTGTATTTTCTCAGATACATGTGTGAATTTGAGGGAGGGGTTACTGAAAGCATGGCTGCGTATGAGAAAGACCTGGAGATCTATTCCCAGGAAGATTGAAACCAAAAAACCCAGTGTCACCAAGTTGTTTCCAATTCAAGTTGTGACCAGTCAGAGTATCCCAGACTGTAAATGCTTGAAGGGACCAAGCAGCTTCATCCTTCTCCCTCAGAGTGGCTTGTGGATTTGAACCACTTACCTTGTGGTTAGCAGTCCAATGCCAAACTCACAGTGCCATCAGGGCTCTCCATGAAGATTATTATTGTAGTTAAGTGCCTTCGAGTTACATCTGACTCATAACAACCCTGTATAGGGTTTCCAAGGAGTGGCAGGTTGAGGTTCAACCGCTGACCTTGCGATTAAAACTGACCTTGCAGTCTAGTGCATTATCCCACAGTGCCACAACAGGACTCACTGTGAAGATTTGTTGTTGTTAACTACTGACCTATAGTGAACCCTGTATAGAGTTTCCGAGGAGCGGCTAGTGGGCTTGAACTGTCAGCCTTGCGGTACAAGCCGACTTTGCAGTCCAGCGTGTTAACCCACAGCGCCACTTCAACTCATTGTGACCCCTTGTGACAGAGGTGAACTGCCTCATAGGATTTCCTAAACTTTAGTCTTCTGCAGTTTAGGAAATTTTATGAGGCAGTTCTCCTCTGTCATATTGGTGACTATGAGCTGAAGTTAATTCAGTGCACCTGGCAAGAAGAAGGTGGGACAGGATTGCATCTTTAGTGGTGTGTGTCTGTCTGAGGACATGCATAATGTCTGGTTAACTGCCTTTTGTGATATTATCAGGTAGTTTAGAGTTCCTGGGTAGCACAAACAGTTTAAAACTCAACGATTAGCCAGAAGGTTGCCAACACAAGCCTACCGAGAAGTGCTTCGGAAGACCGGCCTGGAGATCTGTCCCAAGAAGTCATAACTTTTTAAAGCTGGAAATAGTCTTTATACACATGGGATTGCCATAAACTGGAATCGACATAATAGCAAAGAAAAAGGGTATCAGCTAATTGGATGTTTTACAGTGACGATATTCTCTTTCTTTGTGTATTAGCTAAAATAGTTGTATTAACCTCTTAATTCTGCTAAGGTACAGATTATACAGAGAAAACAATATAGATTTATATATACATACATACATACCTATATATATACAATACATACATATGTACATACGTACGTACCTTTTTCAATAAGTTGGTTTGTTTTTCTTTCTTTTTGAATTGATTTCTTAGCATTCTCCAGAGGGTTTTGTTTTTGAATAATTTTGAACATATAAATTTAAATATTTGATGTGTTTATTCCATTATGGCGATTATCCTTTTTGATGATCGAATTGCCCCAATATTTATTCAGTGTCTATTTTTTTGTTTTCTTGCCTTTGTTGGTCACGGTAGCAAGTACTGTCATACTGCATACTCCACTTATATAAAACTCACTTGCCATTTAAAAACAAAAAAGTTTTTATGTGGGGGAAAATGATTTACTGATTAATATATTTCCATGTGCTTGTCATCTAAATACATGACTATTTAATAGGTATTTCCCTTTATGATCGTACAACAACTGTGGGGATCTTCTCTGATTATCTCTGATTTCACAAGGTGGGAAGAGAATCAAACTCAAAATCGGTTTCAGGCTAATCCCTAGGAAATGGAGTTCAGACATGCTTCCACTGTACAACCTTCTTTCCCCTATTCTGACACTGACATTCCTCCTACATCATTCTCTCCTTCACATCTGGGTTTGATAATCCATTGCAGTGGCCACACAGGACTTCTAACAATACTCACAATTATGGAGTTTATTAGGGAAGTGAACAGAGTATGATTCAGGATCAGAAAAAATCAGGATGCAGCAGTTCTTGTCACAGTGCCTCTTGTTTGCCATACTACAGGCACATCTCACTCTTGTCTTCGGCTTCTCGGCCATATGGTCCCTGAGTCTCAGCCCTGCTTGGGCAAGTGTTAAAGATTTTTTTTAAGCCAGTCTGTATAGTGCCCAATGTGCATGCCAATCTCCTAGACTTGCCACTGCCTCTGTTGTCATAGCTTTTCTAGGTAGGGATCTCATGTTCCACTCATCCTCTTCCTTCTTGATGGTCCTGGGATCATCTGTTCTTGCTTCTGAGAATGGCGCCTATTAAACTTAGTTGGGTGGCAGAACTAATTAATCCCAACCTTAGTGTCCTGTACATCTTATTTTCATGGTCCCATCAATCACTTCTGGTGTGGTTCTGTAGGATCAGCACTGGACTGCAAACCACAAGGTCGGTGGTTCAAACCCACTAGCTCCTCCTTAGAAACACATATACAGGTTTGCTGTGGATTGGAAACGACAACACTAACAACAATTGTTACTTAATGGTAAATAAGAAGTTGGGTAGAAAAGCCTTATCAAGTAAGTTCACGGCACCATTTGTTGTTGTGAAGTGCCATTGAGTCTGTTCTGACCCACAGTGGTCCTGTATAAGGGTTTCTGAGGAGTGACTGGTGAGCTTGAACCACCAACCTTGTAGTTCAAATGGCTTTGCAGTCTGGCACATTCACCCACAGCGCCACACCATGACGGATTTTAAGAATTTTTCGCAGTGTCTCGTGGGCAGTTGATATTGCCTGCCCTCTTCAGTTAAAGTACAGGTAGTTCCTAACAGTGATGCATTTGAGTTACGACAAACTGTGTTTATGATTGGCTGTTTTTGTTTTGTACATCCTATTTTTAGTAATACATACTGCACATAGTGGTGCAATGTGTAATATACACTGAGATGTAGTCATTTTTGTGATTTCCTCTTAACTGTCTTAGTAAAGATCTGTAAAGATTTTTCTTCCCAAAGGGTTGTTATGTTTTTGTCCTGGATCTGTCACTACTGTGTGAGTTGGACAAGTCACTTAGTCTTTCCTGATTCCTGTCCTCATTTTCTTTATATATAAAATGTTGTTGTTGTTGTTGTGAAGTGCCATCGAGTTGGTTCCGACCCATAGCGACCCTGTATAGGGTTTCTGAGGAGCAGCCGGTGAGCTTGAACTGCCAACCTTGCGGTTCAAATGGCTTTGCAGTCTGGTGCATTAACCCACAGTGCCACACCTGGACTCCGAGTAACGTAAAATAACTGTACAGTCTTTTTTTTTTTAATTGTGAATTATGTGGGTTTGTAGTTTACATGGGAGAACATTACCTTTACATTCATCCTATTGTATATCATTTCATTGCCATGGTTATAGTCTCCTCCATGCATCATCAACCAACCAAACGGTATACCTTGCAAGCCTGCCCCCCAGTCGTCAGCACACAGCCCTTCTCCCTCTCTGGGTCTAAAGTCTCCAGCTGCTCCATGTCTCCACATCATCATCTCTGCCTCCATCTCTGGCATCACTGCTTCTCTGGGTAGGGCCCCGCTCTCCGCTCTTCTCCCTTGATGGTCCCAGGGACCTCCGCTGCTAGACTGCAGAGTCATTCATTCCCCTCCTTTTGCTACAAAATGTCTACTTTTACATTTCTAACCCTCACAGTGAATCCTGATAACAGTTATTCACTATTGTGTCACAAGAGACCTCTCCGCGTCTCCTTTCATCAGCCCCAACGAGACAGATTGGATACTACTCATATACAAATAGTCTTTAGCACGTAAATGAAATACTTTTTTGTTTTTAGTATTAAAAGATATTATGTAGAAAATGTGCATTTTTTTCTTATGAGTCCATGTATGCAATCTGGAAGATCCTAGTAGTCTTCAAAGGAACACTAAAACTTGATTTTTTGGGAACATATTGCTGGTGTGGACTTCTAGAAAACCTATAGAGTGTGGTAATTGTAACCTTTATAAGAAAGAGTAACCCTAATAACGTTTGCACCCAGAGTCAGTCAGTCCAATTGTTCTTCCTCTTTCTAGATGTAGGTCCTTGGAGACTTTTACTTTTAAGAGGATATAATCCAATAGTGACCATTTTCATCACTCAAAAAAGATAATTAAAAATAAATATGAAAGGAAATGTCAGCAGTCTTTGATTTGCATTTGCAGCTTTCCCAGCTAGCTTAGCAAAGTAGGAATGGTAAGAGTTGTTCATACTCTGCAACAAGAATTTTGTGAACTAAAAGAAGACACTTATCCATTTAGTTTTTTCTTAAAGGTTTTTTATATGCTGCAAAGACTATTTCAATGTGAGGAAGCTACTTCAAAAACATAAACATATTGGAAAAAAATTGGAAATAACTGATGACTTCCATGTAATGTAAAGCTGCTAATCTCAAGGTCAGCAGTTCAAAACTACTAGCCTTTCTGTGGGAGAAAGATGTACTTTCTACTCCTGTAAAGATTTAACACCTTTGGAAACCTTATGCAGGGTCACTGTGAGTTGGAACCAACACCACAGCACACCACCACCACCTGTTCATCACTAGCATTTTTAAAAGAGTTTTTACCAGTTCTATGAATGTCAAATGTCTTTTGGTTTTAATTTATTATTTTCCGAATAAGTAATGATGTTGGACATCGTTTCCTCTTTTGTCATATCTGTAGAGTTAGGAGAAAGCACCTTCATTATTCATTACTTAACAGATCTAAAGAGATTAAGATATTATGTTGAGGTCTAAAACTAAGATTAAAGTCTAGTGAACCATATCCTATAGCAGTTTCACCCTACTTAAAAACAAAAGTTTTTCCTGTCTACTTGAAAATATATTTTCATTATAGTAAAGAAAAAGTAAGTGTATAGTAAACATCATGTTATTACTCAAACTGTAAAATTCTCAGTGACCTGCAGACTTTCCAGGATAAATGCAAAAGGGCACCAAAAAACTTGTGGAAAAATGAAATGGAATTTTCCCAGAGTTTTGAAGCTCTCTTGTGTTACTATGACAGAGCAATTAAATTGTGTAATATGAATAAATATTGACATTTATCGCTTTTTTTCCTAGTGAACTTGAAGATGACTTACTTGGAGAAGATTTGCTGTCTGGCAAAAAGGTAAGAAGCACAGATTTTCCTGAAATAGGATTTCTGAGGCTGGAAATCTTTGTGGGAAAAGAGAGCCTCATCTTTCTCCTGTGGGCTCAAACCACAAATGTTGTGGTTCCCAGTCCAGGGCATGTCTTTTTTTTTTTTTTTTTT